TAAACACATGTATAGTAGTAATAAATATAGTACTTATAGTAATAAAAATAGAACTAATAATAGTACTATACCTAAGAAAAAGATTGAACTAAAATTAGGGACTCTGGGGAGAAAAATGTATGCATTGTCTTCTTTATTTGGTGCACGAACTTATTAAATTAATTACCTGTTTTTCTATTATAAATTGTTGAAAACTACTTGTCAAAGTTATGTATATATATATATATATAATAAAACAAACACTTGTAGCTGAGTATAACTAATGAGGAACAAATTATAACTTTTAATTATTCTTAAGCAAAAATAGTTAGCTTTAGCTATTAAATTTCAAATACATTATTATATGTTTTTTTAATCATTATTATTTTTATTTTATAAATTATTTTGATTCTATAAACTATTTTTTATTTTGCTAAGAAAATTTGCTTTATGTCTACAGGATTATATGCAAGTTTTGCGTATTGGAAACTAATTCTTATTCTCAAAGAACATAGTCTCTACCTTGACAGATTTTTTTAATGCAATACGATATAAAACATTTATAAATTTCTAATGAATAAAATTGACAAATGTTGCCTTTTAGAAAAAATTTGTGTTTAAAACAAAAAAATAGCAGAAAATATTTGAGTTCATTGTTTGTTTTCTTATCAGTATAACAGTCTAAATTCTTTGTATAGTTTTACTTAAATATCTCAACAGTTAAAAACGTAATTGATTTGCTATTTTATAATGTAGGGAAACTGACACTTATTTTTTTGTTTAACTGAATAAAAATAAGTTCTGTAATTTGAAAATAACGTTTGTATAGTTTTTATGTCGCTTTCTAACAGTTACTTTGCTTCATGTTGTTGAATTATGTCATTGCTTAGTTGAATTACCCTTATCTGTGATTGACTTGTTTGATATAAATTATATACATATTTCTTTTAACTCTCCAAATCAACAAGTCCAGAAAATTGATTTTTCCAGATAATAAGTCTTTAAGGTTAACAAACATCAAAACATCCTTATTCAATAAAAAATAACAAATAATCTATAATTAACATCAGTTTAAATCAACAACGTATAAACAGGTTTGCATAGTTAAGCAAATTTTGCAGCTTTTTGTTACAAATTTTTGCATAGTTTTCAAAATATCAATACTTTTATTATGCCATTATAACATACTGCAAATTCCGAATCACGCTTTCAGTTGTTTATCATTTCTCGACGATTTCATAGTGAATCTCTGTGGTTTTGTTGATAGTTTTTCCGATATTTATTAAAATGGATTTTCACTTGGTTTTTAAAATCTCTTTTTTAATTCAATATTATTTTATTTGGCAAACTTCGAATTGCACATTTCACACTCAATTAATTGACGAATCATCGGCAATCCCATATGGATTTATGATCACATTTTGTCAGCTATTGCTATGGATTTTTATATCTTTTTAATGCTACATTATCATACACAGGAAATTTCGAATCACCTTTTCACAAATTACATTTTTATGCACTCTTTTTATGACGATTTTTTGTCCGTGTGGTGTTATTGATCGCATTTTCAACAGTTTGGGATTTCCACATAGTTTTTAAAATTTCAATTTCATTGTTTAATGTAATATTATGATCCACAAATTCTGAATTGTGTTTTTGAATAATTACATTATGACCAGCATTAGTCGAGGCTATTAAATCTCATATCCGCAATTTTATCAAAATGTAAAATTTTCACGCACTCTGAAATTGAGTGTGTGATTCTTAACTGTAATAATCCTTTTATGCGAGACGTAAGGGAAAAAAACATATCTATATATTTTTTTTGGTTTTGCACTGTAGGATTGGTTTCTATGATATCCAATGTTTTTCAGAGTATAGCGAAAATTGGATTAAAATCGAGCCAAAATTGAATTAAATATTAACATACAAATTAAGCGGTACATTCTCATCCCTGCATACCTTTTTTTTTAACAGGTTGCAAGTAAAAAAGAAAAGAAAAAATTTGAAAGGGAAAAAGAGTTTTGTTTATTTTGATTGTTAAAAAGTTTCTGGAATAGAGATTCTTCCGGTAAATGGACATTAGGATATGGGACTTAGTGCTGTATATAATGTATCTAATTTCTGAAAAATGAATGAAACTTTTTTATGAACTTCATATCTAGATATACATAATGATGTTGAGCCCACTGATACCTTTAAAACGACCTTAATTTATTAAATGAAAATAAGTAAAAAAAATAGTGATATAGTCTGTAAATATACAGAAACATTCTATTTACTTACCTACATTCAAAATTAACATTTGTTAATTCTCAAAGTTTTTGAACAATCCCCTCTGCACCTCCTTGTCATCAATCCATAACGTCATCAGAGTTGCCAACTGCTCCGGACAAGCGAAAATAATTGAAAAAACGGTAAATAACTACAAAGTAAATTTCGCAAATATTTGACTATTTTAGCTTGTTTTTTAAAAGTTAAAGCATGAGATGAATACTACTAAGTGGGGAATTATATAAGTCTGCGAATTATTTAGAAATAGTGGGATAAAAATCTATTAAATTAAATTTATTAAACCAAGAATCACAATTGATAAACTACCTCTTTAAAATATATATTTCCTGTCCGGAGCAAGTTGGCATCTCTGCGCCATGAGTGATTTCTTATTTAAGTTCCAGGATATTTGGTAAATGCTATTTAAACAAATAGTCTTTCAAGAATTTACCACCAAGTTGACTCGTCTGTACAATATTCAAGTTTGAAATGCATGGTCAAAGCAGATTCATGTTGAAACTTAAATTCTTATTGTTAGGCAAAACTTTTTTTTATATACTTAATATATGCTGATGATGCATGAAACTTAATGAAATAAATTAAAGTTAATAGCAAGAGCTAAGTGTATTTTGAAATGTCAATACTAATTTATCTTACAGGAATACTCCTGCTGTTAGGAATATCTGTCTGGCGGTTAATAAGCGTTCTCTTATGTCCACTAGTCCTAATGAATATGCCACACCTGCTAAGCGATCTAGGTTGCTAGATAATGCAACTTTCATGGAAACTCCTTTATCAAAAAGGTATGCATTCTTTTTTTTTTTAATTTCATTTCTGTCAAGTTTACAACTCTACAACAACTCTGAGGTACTAGTGTATAGGGTATCTGCGCACCTGGAAAGTCATGAATTTCAGTATTGAACAAAATTTTTCATGAAATGTCGTGATTTGAACTATTTTTATTTTTTTAAAGTCATGGATTTAGGTCGCCAAAAAAATCTAATTTTTAAAATGGAATTCCCCCCATGCATGCTCCATGGTGCTCTGAATATCTGAATTTGTTACGAAATCCTCACTCACAGTCATATTTTATTAAAATATAAAATGTCTTTATCATGTTCTTTAAGAAATTATGTTCTTTCAAAAAAATGAAAGAAAAAACATTTTTAGAGCAAATTATCTTTTAAACTTCTGTGATTTCGAAATTTTTATTATTATTTATTTTTTTTATTTTGTCAATTTAAGATTCTAGCTGAAGCAAGCCAATCATTGGCGAATTTTTTTAATTCTGAAATGAGAACAGAAAAGTCATGAGTATTTCTTTTCTTTTCCAAAGAACAAGAAAATTATCTTTGGAATATAATTCTGCAGAAAAAAAAAATATTTGCTTTTCCATTTTTTTCAGCTGTTTTAGACTCTTCAGTATTTTCTTCATCTCTCTTTACTGTGCTCTCTTTTCTCTTGCTTCTACTCTTTCTTTACTCTGTTTTTTAAATTTAAAATCTATAAATATGAAGATGCGGAGTATAACACTTTTGGTTATGCCTATCATTTCAATCAATGTTATTATATTACTTTTTTAAATTTATTGTTGTGTTTTTGTTGGAGAAAATAGTAACTTCGTTAAGTCATGAAATATCTTGGAATTAGTCAGGAAAAGTCATGGATTTGAAAATCTAAAATGTAGCTGATACCCTGTGTGTACCAATTTAAGACTTAAATTAAAACAAAAAAATTGAAATTTTTTTTTTCATTAATACTTTATTAGAAATATTTTTCGAACATAGTAAACTATCCGGCCGCATCTATCTTGACTACCTTGACTGACTGTAAATTAATGTATTATATCTTAAATGTTTTCTTTTAGAAAAGCTCCCAGACATCTGGCTGGAGATATTGCTTCACTTTTGCAGACACCCCCTATACACCGTAGAGTTTCACTGACTAAAAGTAATCCTGGAACTCCTATTGTTAAACCGCAATCTATACTGAAAAAATCTACTGCTGCTGTCATGGAAACTGATGCAGACTTTCACAGAGCAGAAACACCACCAATACTTATACTAGGTATTCATTCTTTTTAAATATTTTATTACCCTCCATTGTTAATAAAATTTTAAAATTCGCAAGTTTTACTTTTTGAATTTTAACGAATGTCTTAAAAACAGTTTTTTTTTCAATAAACTTTTTAATTTCATTGTCATCTTTAAATATTATTCTAAAGCATGGATCTACAATCATTTTTAGGCAGCAGGCCATAAAAACTAGGAAGCATGATGAGGGACAGCAATAACATAAGTCTGTTATCATATTTCAATTCTGGCTTGAAATATGATTATAAATTACACAGGCTTAACTATAATTTTTCAAAGATAATGTAAATGAAGTAATTATATTTTATCTAAATTAGTTGGAAAATTTAAAAAAAAAAATTACTATCACAAATAATTACAAAATTTCACTTACTTCAAAAGTCAGGGATGAGATTTTTCCGCTTTTTTCCTCAGATTTCAGCCTTTTTATCAAAAACTCTGATTCTCTAAAAGTTTTGGTTTTTTATAAATATTCCACTTTTTATGAAAATTCAGTCATTGAAATAAAATAATTATATTTATTCTCAAAGAAAAACAGAAAATTCAAACTACGCCGTAGCTGCTAACCCTTCCGCATTTGTACTTATTTTAGCTATTTTCTGCACTTTTATGCTCAGAAAATACGATTTTCCGTATTTTTGCCCGCCGACCTGATATCTCGTATTTTCGTAATTCAGGCGTCGTTGCTTCCTGTTTGCTGGCCCAAAAGCAAACTAATTAAAAAATAGCAGTGGATTTGCGGTGATCATATTTATTTGCACATTAAATTAATCATGTAAGTTTTTATTTATTATGGCTAAACTAAAACAATACAAACAAGCCTTTTGGAAGTCCCAAGCCCAGAATCTGTTAATATCACGATTCTTATTCACGCAATTTTAATATCAAACATCGATTTTTGTGTTTACCTGATTTAAAAGTTGCCTCATTGCGATTCTTATTCATGCGATTTAAATATCATATCCCAGGTTTTTTGTATCATCCTTTCGGGACCAAAGAATAGAAGCAGGGTGTGGGATTTTTTCGATATCACGATTTGTATTCACTCAAATTTAAAATTCTGTTTCGTGATTTGTATTATCAAACATCAATTTTCGAGTTTATACGCTATTTAAAACTATCTCATGAAATAAAAAAAAATGAAATATGTGTTTTTATATGTTTTATATGTGTTTTTAAGAAGATAACAAATTATATTTTCTTATTCTTTGTGTCCTTTATCTATTTTACAATAAAAGTTAAATTATTCTAATTTTTTTCTCACTTAACCACAGCCATATTAGCCTGTGTTTAGATGATTTTTATAATATTAGCTTCAACTACATTTATAAATTACTTAATCACTGTTCTTCAGNCCTCAGCGGTAAGCGCGCTTTCGCGCTTTGCGTCGCGAAAGGGTTAACCACATCCATATTAGCCTGTGTTTAGATGATTTTTATAATATTAGCTTCAACTACATTTATAAATTACTTAATCACTGTTCTTCAGCAAGTATGCTTAAATAATTTTATGTTAAAATCTAATGAAATTGAAATTTTTTTTTTCATAAATAGGAAAAGAATATTAACTATTCTTGTTCTATTGTTATACTATTATATGTAAAATACGTTTGATTGGAATTTTAAGTTTTTTATCTAAATTTTCTTGTAGAGGAAAACTTAGAAGAAGTGATGCAAGTGGAGGAGAAAGGCTCTGAACAATTAGAAGCTGAGAGTAAGGAGCAGTTTACGTTATAGAAGCTTTTCATGTTTCAGAATTATTAACTATGTAAAATTTGACTTAATTGAAATTGGTTTTACTTACAGGTGAAAGCCAATCAAAGCAAATCAGATTTGATTTACCTCTTGCTGATCAAAGTGTTGTTAGGTAATTTTCATAATTGTATTATTTTTTATGTTGTTTTTTCACAAAAATATGTGAAAAAAACAAAAATTATCATTTTCTACTTACTTTTAAATTGTAATTAGAAAATTCATTTTAAGATTTTAAGTACTATAAGTTTTATAAATTTACAACTGAAATATGTTTGACAATCACATTGCGCATAAGAATTTCCTGTGTAGTACATACGATCATCTTAATTTTTTTTATTACTTATCAATATTGAAGCTGTAAAAAATTAACATTAATAACCTTAAAATGATGTTTATTTGATATTGATCCCATATCCTAAATTACATATCTTTAATGCATACCTTAGCTACTTTTATTGAGTGTAATTCAATTCTGTTATTCAAATTATTGTAATTCAATTCTGAATTTAAATGTAAAACATTCCAAAGTATTTCCCTAATGTTCCTGAAATAAAACAATGCATAGGAAAACTAAGAAAGTTATTGAAAATTCAATGTAATCATACAGAATTAATTATCAATCATGAAAAGAGAAGTTATGCTTAAAATTTGAATAATTGCACAGTTTGTTAGTTTGATTTCAAGTGTTTAGGAAAATTAATATGCATAAAAAATATGAATATGAGATTCAAATATGAATAAAGCAAATGGTACATCTGTAATTTATAAATGAAAATTTCCTTACGACTGTACCACCTATGGGACACAGCAGGTTATAGCAACATTTTCAGCACTCATATTTGTCAACAACCACGATAAATTCAGACTTATGTAAAGAATGTAATTGTAGTTCTTGGAGGAAAACTTTCTGTTTCATATTGCTTTGAAACATAAATTAAATTTTTTTATTTAGTAAATACCATAAAAAACAATTTTATTTTTAAAATGATTTAATACCTGTAAATCTTTGATATTGAAAGTTTACTATAGTTAAATTTAAAGTTGTTTCATTATGAACTGTCAAGACATTGCTTGATTTCCCCTTGTTTTGTCCCATATGTGATGTATATGTTAATCACATTATCAAAATATGATTACAGTCACTTATAACATTACAAAAATTAATGCAAAGCATTTGCAAATGTTTGCTTTCTATGAAAATAAATACAATAATTCATTTATTATTTAGAATTCCCTGAATTTCATAGACTTATTTTAAAGAAATATATTTGAGCAAGTTCAGCCTCGTCCCCACATGTAGCACTTGTTTTAATTGTTATAAAATATTAATTTGACTTTCAAAAATGGCATTATTCTTAATTGAAGAAAGGTTTGCGCATCATGAAATTAATTGAAAATATATCATTCTTAGAAATTAAAATTACATTAAGACGCTTTTAACAACAACAACAAAAAAATGTCCTACACTATGGAATGCGACAATATATGAATGCATTTTAAATTATGCCTTGCTTTATAATGACACATGTCAAAAACTGGTTTAAAAGAAAAGCAAATATAATCATAAACAAAAGTAAGAAATGTACAGTTTCATTTCAAAATTTAAATCACATTCAAATACATGCAAATTAAGGTTGACAATTTTATAAAATTCGAAATACGGCTAAAATGTTCCTTTGAACAATATACTAAAAAAGTAATTAAAAAACAATAAACTTATGAGATTTATGTAAAAATGATTCACTATTTATTACTACCACTTATTAGCTTGTGATTGCATTGCATTACAATCAGTTTTATCTATTTATGCACCACAGTTGACTGTAACTAAAATGGAAGTCTCACATTAGTTATTTGAAGAGCAAATTACGATTTATTTTTGACTAAATTTTATCATTTAAAGAAAATTGCGAGGCCCTATTTTTTTTTAAAAAAAATATATATTTTACATGGGTAAACTCAATATTCAGCTATAGAATCTGAATATAAGGGGGGATTATTACACTAATATTAGATGTGGAGTCAAAATCCAAAACAAATTTATTGAAATGTAATTATTATTTATTTATTAAATTACAAATTTATTAAATTATGCAGCAACTTTTCAATCTCAATTCAAAATTATGACTGTCTAAAAAAATTTTCAGTTAGATATCTATTTGTTTGTAAGATATTAATTTATTTAAGAAAAATTTGTAATTCATGAAGCAAGAGTATTATATTACGGTCAGAGAACAACCAATACTATACCTTTTTGTTTATACCTTTATACCCTTGTCTATACCTTTTACTCATAAAGAAATTCTACATAAAACTTTTTGTAATTAGGACCAAAATTGTATAATAAATTACCTCTACTAATAATATCAGAAACCTCTATTTTAAATTACAAAAAATTATCAAAAGCATTTATTTTTTCAATTGATAGCATAAAAAATTTCAATAGTTCTACTTTTTTAGGCTCATTATAATCTTTTGTGAAGCTCATTGCTATATTTTTTACCATATAATATCTTCCTAATTTTTTTCCCTTGTGCTTAATGTTTCAGTATACATTTTTTCTAGCTGCCTATATGAGAATACAACTTGAAAGTTCAAATCNTTTGAAGCAAAATTTAATGTTAATTCTTTGCTCCATTTCACTTCGACAACAGGAATTTAAGAGCTCCGTTTTAATGCGCCTTTCCACGAGAACCACTCACTTCAGAATGGCGCCGATTGCACTGCACATGCGCAAGAAAACACTCTTCAATATGCAATCATTAGCGCCATCTTTCGGCTTTTCTTTCTCCTACAGTTACGTCAGTCCTGGAAATTAATAGCCGGACCTTGTATGTAGAATAATTAAACTTATTTGCATTTGCATATATTATTATAACTTTTAAATACAGTCAAATATTGATATCATGGAAACTTTCATAAATTCTACAATCAAAAATTTGAACAATTTAGATAAGATAAATACCGACATTTTTAAAGTTGTATAACTTATATTCTTTGAAATCTCAATGTCGTTCTTTATTTATTTGATATAATGTTCTACTTAAAACTTTCAATTTTGACATTTTCCTCTCATGATATATTTTCTGATGTTGAGATCTCTGTTTATATTTCTTAACATAATACCTCTTTTCATTTCACGGCACACTAAAATATTGTCTACCGTAGCCTCTTCTTAAGTATCAGTTTCGTTTGAATTCATTATATTAGCAATTTTTCCCAATTTTACTGACATATTTTCTTATTTATCGGAATTTTATCTTACAACAGGGCTCTTACGGATCCCTGGTATTGTCGTTGTGGAATTTTATTTTCTCTCTAAGTAACAGGAAATGGTCAGGAAAATCGCAAAGAGAGAAGAGTTCTCTCTAAGTAACAGGAAAATCGCAATTTTTTAAAAGAAAAAAACTTGAAAACTCCTACATCATGCCTGGAAAATAACCAGTCTCAGAATTATCAGTAACAGTAATCTGTTATTGAGATTTGAGTTTAATAATTCTAACAATTATTTGTTGTAAACATTTCACATTTTACTGAAAATTTAATGCTTCTATCCTCATTCAATTATATTTTTTGCTTACAAAATCTAATATTTAACATTACAAATAAAAAATCAAAGTTGTCTGATGAAAAATTGCATGGTATAGATAAAATATGGTTTGAATTTTCCTGATATACCTGGAAAAATCACTAAAATTTTTTTCCCTGAAATTAAGTGGGAAGCCTCTTACTAGCCTACTTCTTTACGAATGTGTAAATTTTTTTCTTAATTGGACTCCTAGAAATAATCCAGAAAATTGTTTTAAAAAAAGTATTAAGAATTAGAGTTTATACTAAGAATTTAAAAAAAAATTCTATGCAAATAAGATTAAAAATGATTTGATATTTGTGATTAAAAATATTTCTGAAAATCAACTGTCCGTGAGAAAAGTACTATTTGGCTAAAATAAATGTTTTCTGTTGTCAGCCGAGCAAACGTTTAAGGACTTAAGGAAAAAATCATATTAGCGAAATTCCTGATATCAAAATTTGACTAATTCTGATTGTTGAAACTGCATGAAATGTATACAGATCTTTATCTAGTTTCTTATTAATATTGCGTTTTTTTCTTCTTTTTTTTTAATATTTAAACCAATTTCAATAATTTTTCTAGTGAAAATGTATCCATCATTTCTGAAGTAGCAGCTGCTGATGAAAGTTTTGAATCTTCACTGTGTTCTTCTCCAGAAAAGCTTGAAACCAGTTGGAAAAATTCAATGACTAATCTGGCTCGTGAACCCCTATCCAAAATTTTAAAGCATTCACCAGCAATTTCTATGTGTAGAGGTGATGTAAAAGACAATATTTCAACATCAGAGGGCATTCTGTACGAACCAAAAGAGCCTAGCTCATTGAGGTATTCCAAAGCTGAAGGCTCCGATTTGGCTGATGGGACTGTAACTTCTTCTAATACTTTATTCAGTGGCAGTGGAATAGAATCTTCTCCTAACTTTGTTAAAGAATGTGACTCATATGTGAAAGAGTTTTCTAAGGAGGCAGTCAATCAGGACTTCGGCACTCCAGCGTCACAAAGGTTGGTTTTTTTAAAAATAAAAAAAATTTTAATACTTAAAACTAATTAGTTATAGGATGGAAGAATTAATGTGTAAATTATAACTCATAAAATTAGATTATTGATTCAGCCATTTCTAGTAAATAGAATTTCATGGACCAGGATATACAAAAGAGCTTTTTTTTTAATTTATTAACGGAGCACCGATGGCAAACTCTTTAAAGCATGTGCATGTTTTCCCTTTGAAATTCTGCATTCATTCACTTTTTTCCCTTTAATAACAAATCAAAACTTTTCATTTTTGCTTCCGTATAAAGAACATTTTCTTTTCTTCTCTGCGAAAATTTTCTTTACTTCTCTCAAGTTTTCTTTAAATCACTTCTCTGCGAAAAAGTAAATAAATAATTATTTGTTGAATTTTTAGCCCAGGCACTATAATTTCAGGTTTTTGTGTAATTTTCTTTTTATTTTTTAGCCACATCAGAAGAATTTCTGGTTGCGTAAAATGACCTCCTGAATCTAAATATGACTATCATTCCTCTCCCCCCTCCACATTTACCCTTTTTGTATAACTTAATGACCATGAATTTGATTCAGAAGGAATTATTTTGTATGGTACATTTAAAGATAGCAATAATAGTTTGTATACTATAAGTAAAATATAATGTGAATAAAATATAATATATATAAATTATAATATAAAATATTATATATAATAACTGCAATAGGGCGATTCCACGAAAAGTGGTCCTGAGTGACTAAATTTTCAAAATTATCGTAAAATCAAAAATGACACAATTTCGGAATCTAGAAGATGTACATTTTTTAATAGTTAAGATAGTTTTTTGAATTACAAAAAATATTTATGTGAATTCTAACAAAAGGTGGAACACTATGAATTTTAACAGGAGTTCTCTTCTTTGTTATGTTATATTCCAATGGAGTTCTTAAAATATTAAAGAGCAATAAAATAGTTTTTAGTAATAAATATAACTATTTTACTCTTTTATCATTGTTTAATGTATTTTTTTAATTTGGCCTAAATTTTTTTGCTTGTTTGAAAGTCGATTAATCAAGATAGTCTAATTTCCCAGTAACACACGTAACATAATTTTGCATTTTTTTCTGTAAAAACTTTAGTAAAAAAGAAAATTTAAAAATTTTTTGTTTTATAAATTAAGAAGGCAAGATATGCAACGGAAAAAATTCTCGAATTAAAACTGCCAATAGTTAAAATTTTATAATTAATTTTATTCAAGGTAACACACGTAACGAAAAGTTACGCGCGTTACTGTTATGTGTGTTAGAGGTACTTATACACTTTAATTATTTATTTATTTTCAATAAAAGATTTAAATCATGTTCGGACATTTTTTATAACCGCCGCGCAACTTCAATGCCACAAATACGGAATTGTAAGATTGTGGTTTTTTGTAAAATCAGGTCGGTATAAGCATTAATAAAAAAACAGCATAATAAGACGATAATTTTGAAACTTTTGGAAATTGTTTTCCCAAACTTCTATTTGTTATACGTTTATGTTTAAGTAGAATATTTCGACTGCATTTGCTAGATTATTATAAAATGGATAAGCTTAAAATAGTGTCCTTATCTGGATTTAAAAGAATAAGAAGATGAAGAAAAAAAGAAAAGAGCATAAGATTCTGCACTTCAAAGGAAAGAAAATAAGGAAATAATGAAAGTTAGACTTGAACTTTCAAAACAGATTGATAATGATGTAAAAGGTTCACCACTAAGTATTTCAGATGAACTTAATTATTAATAAATGGATTTTCTTCAAAAGTTAGATTGTTTATACTATGCTTGTATTGAAACAAGAGCTGGTTCTCTGGATTATTACGGGGAAAAACGGGCAATAAAACGAAAGAACTATCTAACAATGTTTCTAAGAGAGGCTTATACTGATTTTTGTCAGTTGCATCCTAAACATTGTTTAATTTTCCATATTTAGTGCTTTATGACTAAAAAATTTATTGCTACTGTAAAACTTAGAATCAAAACAAATATCATGAAATTTTTATTCTTTAACTGGAAGGCTAAAATTAAGTTTATGACAATACATGGTGATGGTAGAAGTATTTATGTATATAAAGTAAAAGAAATTTTGGATCTAATTGTTGGAAGGGTGCTTCTGATACTTACAAAAATTTCTCATTGCTTGTTATAGGTTTCTAACCATCATTTATTGTAGTTTGGTAACGATGAGAAAAAGATGACAATAGCTCACAATAAAAAATATATAATGGCAAATGTGCAAGAAGAATGTTTTGAAATAACTCTTGAAAATTGGACTAACTTTCAATAATACGTAAGAGTTAAAAGAATCCGAGGTGATACTTTCCAAACAAACATATCTAGCATTAAAACCAGGGAAATTCAAGTTGACTTTGCAATGGCATATTCTTTTGAATATCAAAACGAATTTCAATCAGCATTATGCTATCCAGCCACAGTTCCGTTATTCACAGCAGCTGTTGTCTTAGACGATACTCTCCTAAAGAGTTTAAAATAGAGTCCTTTACAATATTTTCCTAAGGCAAAGACAAAGGTGAAACAATGTCTACACTTTTATTTTAAGACTGTTTAAAAACGATTCTACTTCAGAAGATGAGCTAACAGAAACCTTCTATAGTAATAAGTCAAGTTAAGAATTTAAAAATAAATATATGGTTGAATTATTTCATATTTTGTCAATCAAAATATAAAAAAAGAAATTAATTTGGAAATATTTTACGATATCACATGCAGAAGTTCCTTCTATGGGATAGGTGTGTAGTACAAAATCTTGAAAGCGAAGCAAAAAGCAAAGTTATTTATATCATTGTGTTGTTATACAAAAAAATTTATTTGCTATCCAGTGTTGTTTGCAAAGCTAACCAATCAACTCATGCCTAATACAACAGTATTATATATTAGCCAAAAGGAAATAAAGATATTAATTGAAAAGATCAATACATGGCAACGGTAATACAAAGCATAAAATCTATGCATAAGTATCGTTAGATACTTGAATAAGATGCATAGATGCACATTGTGGCACACAAATAGTCAGTAAGTCAATTTCTGTTCCCTCCTGATCAGAAGTGCGCCTATAACTGAAATTAAAACGACATATGCTCTATCTCGGGAACATTATTGACGCAAATGCACATGCTTGTAAACTTAAAATGCAATATTTGCATAAAATAATTGGAAAATATGCATATTTTTGTTTCCAAACAGAAATGATTTTGAAGGAATAGATGTGCCTAAGATTTGCTATGTTTTACTCTCTAAACCAGTATAAAGAAGGGCTACAACCATCTTTCCAGACCATTAACTATTTTATTTGCTAAAATAAATTGTTTTTCTTCTGCTAAATTAAAATAAATAAATGTTTTAGTGCAACATTTATGACTTCTCAGTTGAAATATTCACAGAGGGTAACACACGTAACGTTCAGTTAACACACGTAACGCACCAATTTCACCAAAATAAAGAAGTTTTTACTGTTGCAAGAAATTTTTAAAAATCACTAAACACAGCTTCGATATTGTATCTCTCTATAAAAGAAAATATCTTAATTTTTTGCCTTTATACTTCACAGAATTAAATGAATATATTCAAAGTTTCAAATATCTAGCATTATAAAGGGTAACACACGTAACAAAATTTCAGAAATTTTTTTTTTCAACATCAAATTAATTTGCGCCTTCAATCTTCGTTTTGAAAACTTACAACACATATAGATTTAACAACAAATTAAGAAAAACATAAAAAATATCTAACAAGTTTATTATAATAAGTGTTAAAGTTGAAATATGTCGTGTAAAAGTAACACACGTAACGAAAGAATCGCCCAATACACAGAATCTTCCAAATTTTCTAGCGATTGCTTCCGCCTTTTTTTTAAACTAAAATTGTGGCTATATATTTTTATTATTTGGCAATATTAAGAGCAAGGACAGGTGGATAAAAGCTAGAATATGTGGAAAATTAGAGAAAAAATTGCAGGAAAAATTCAAGGTGTCTAATTCTCCTTTTTGTTACAAATGTTCATGTCTTGGTTTCACTTCTCTAGTCCACCAAAATAAATTGAATGGTTTATCCTAATCAAACCTGGTTATAAAATTATCAAAATGTGATAAGCATGAGGGGGGGGGAGCATCTTCAGAAAATGGTAGGTCATAGAGTGGAATATAGGAGTCATAGTTGGATTCATGAGAACATTTTAAATAAGAATCAGTGAAGTCATATCGATGTTGATTTTGATGCTGAGAAACTTAATTATAGTCTGTACCAATGTTGCTTGTAAAAGAATTATCATTATCATAAACTTGTAGAATTATCATTATCATGAACTTTTTAGAATTATTTTAATTATCAATAAAAGTTAATGCTATTTAATTAATTTGTAACACGCAATAATTTTATACAGTTAGACTGAAAAGGATATAGTTTAAAAAAAAATTCTATTATAAATTTCAAGTGTATCTAATGAAGGAAGAAAGAAAACAGGAAAATGGTAGGAGGATGAGATATTTTTTAGAGACGGATCACAGATTTTCAATCACGGATCAACGCAGAATTCAATGTGTTACATGATTCACCCCACTGTATGGTAACTAAATTGTTAGTATTTTAAATGTGACCAAGTTTTTTTTTTAAAAATTTCTAGTTTTACCAATGTGCAAGTATTTTTATAAAAAGAAATTCTTGGCTTCTTATTATATATTACCATTATGAGTACATTAAAGTATAAATGATATATGAACTCAAAAGATAGTCTGCACAAAGTCAAAAATTCTCTCTCTCTCTCTCTGTATATATATATATATATATACCCTTCCTGCAAAAAAAACTTTCAAAATAGTTACTTAGGTTTCAATATTTTTGGTTTTTTGCCTAAATTATGAAAACTTAACCTCGTGAGAGCTAGTGCAAAATGACTTTTCATATAAGCGTTTAAATCGTTCACATGTTGTGATGTGAAAAATAACTTTAAATCAAATTCATAAAACCAAGAATCATACTAATAAACATAAACTTGGCTACTACTCGAAGAAATTTTCCGAAAAAGTGTAGGAACTTGGCATATGTCTATATTTGTATTTCATTAATTTATTTTAATACAGATGATGGCATTTAATGCTGATTTCAATGCATACATTTATAAAGCCCATTACAGTGTAAATTTTTCTATTAAATAAATGAAAACTTTTGTTTTTAAACTTGAATTTATTTGTCTATCATAATTAATTTTTCTTTTTTATTTAGGAAAAACATATCTGTTCGCCCACCACTTAGAAAAGAAACATCACTTTTGGAAACTGAAGCATCAAATCAAAGTAATAAAACCTTGTGCCCGTTGAATATATTGTCCGAAGTATTTATCTCATAGATTTAGAATTTCCTTCAATACTGTTTTTTTTTTTTTTTTTTTTTTTTTTTTTTTTTTTTTTTTTTTNTTTTTTTTTTTTTTGAAAAAAATATAAAAAGTTAAGTCTAAAAGTTAAGTATAAAATCTCTACAATATTTCGAATTAAACTGTATAATATATTCCCAGATCTGTCTGTATGAAGTTCTACCTTTTAGAGTTTATGGTTTCTCTAGATTGAATATAAATATTTTTTTCCTGTACCATATGTGTATAGCCTTTTTTAGAGGAAGGCAATGGGACAAAATTTATATTTCTTGAGCCGCAATGAGTTTAATTTTTATTTCAATTCATGATTAAAATTTTCCTAAGGTAATGAATACAATATAAATTTGTATTGTGTCATAAATTAACTGACTAATTTCAGCATATTATGTGTAATATTTGCTGAATTTACATGTAATATTCTTTGCCTTCTTTAATCAATTTAAAGAAGGTTAAAATCTTTCTTTGAAAAAAACTAATTTTATTACTTTTAACTGTATGTAAAATACTTATTCCCTTACGTTTTAAATGAAATCGTAAATTTTTTTGGGTTAAATATGTTTTCTTTAGGCAAAATATATTCAAGTTAAAAGTTTTAGAAAATAATTTTTATAATGGTAAAAAAAAATAATGTACTGATACTTTAATAGATTGAAATTAAAAGAATTTTGTCTATCTCAACATGTAAATAATTTGAATAGATATATCAAAGATTGAAAGGAGGATTTATTATGCTCAGATGTTTTTATAAGGTTTTCCAAGAGCTTTATTTATTTTCAAAATTTGCACTTCATTTTGTTACCACTAATAAATGTATTTTGCTCAAAAGTTGGACGATATTCCCAGATTAAACAAGTGAATTGTAAATTAGTTCAATTGTGTATGTACAGTGAAACTGCGGTTAGACAGACAGTCTTGGAACCAAAAAAATTGCCTGTTTAGGAAAGTTTTTCTTTTACGGGAAGGGTACACTAATTGCGAAGGCTGACACCATAAATTGTTTATCCCCCCTAACACCTTTCCATTTGCTTGAAATGACACATGGCAGTACCTACCTTGAAAGGCACTATGTAGTTGTATTCATTTGTCAAAAATCTGAATAAATGTTAGAATTATATGGGCATCACCATGACTAGATTTCTGTGCTTTTTTTTTTTACCCTGCTGTGTTACGTACTTGGATCAAATTTATTTGAAGAATTTTTAGTGATGATGCAAAATTGAAAACATTTAATGCTTCAATTCAACTTTCGGGCTCTCACAACTTGTGTTGCCCTCATGAAAAGGTCAAAAGATGTAGCCTGACTGAAATATTTCACATGATTAATATCAACAACTTTTCTTGACAAAAAAAGATTAATTCTAATACCTGTTAAGTCTCCTGATTTTAACAAAGACTCCTGTATTTTTCAACTATCTCCTGTTTGCCTGTATATTCTCAAATTTCTCTGTATTTGTTGGAGAAATTTTTTAAAAAAATGGCTGTAAAATATCCGCTGATAACTAAATTACTTCTCTTATTCCTCAGCAGATGGTGCTATTGTCAGTAATGTTGAGTGTTAATAGTTTAAGTAATTATAAATAATGGTTAAAAAAAATTCTTTAGATTAAGATTCATATATATGTTTTTTACTTCGCTAAATGTAATTACTTTTATACATTTCCAATTTTCGATTTCTCTTTTTGACTTAAATGATTATGCATGGTGTATTAAAACGCTTTATGCATAGCCTAAAAAATGTTGCTAGTAAAACCTCCCTTATTTTAATTCTCCAATGTTGGCAAGTATTGATTCTTTATCAGTGATAGCTTTGCAATATTTTTAGTTATGGCTAAGGTAACATATTTACATGCTGTAACAAATGGTGGAATGATGCATATTTTATTTATTTATTTTTATTATCATTTTTTCAAATTTAAAGTGAAAGTTAAAATTTAAAAGTTAAAATTTAAATTTAAAAAGAATTGTGTCCAGTTTGAAAATAACGTTTTCAGCTTAAATGATTGTCTGCATCGTGTTATAGGAGTGCCTGTTTTGCGGAGAGGGTACATAATCGTTTATTCATTGTAGAATTATATTCCAGGAATTATGAAGAATCGTTTACTCAAGGAATTTTAAAAAAATATCTAAAAAGTCAGATTACACTGTACATTGATTTTAAAATTTTTATAGGTGGACTTAAGAGTTTAGTTTTTCAGATTTATAAAAAAACAATTTAACTTTGTTTAACCTTTGTTACATTTTAATGGGTTATTTTTGCAAATTTGTTTTTATTATGAATCTCTTTCAAAAAGTTGTGATTTATATCAGTTTTTTCTTCTATAGATATTATGTGGGAGCAGAAAGATGATACATTAAATATACAAGAAAGATCAACTTCTCTTCCTGATAAATCTCCCAATCAATCTTCCGCAACTGCTTTTCTAGCAGATAATACTATAGTTGCTGAAGACTCTGATAATGAGATATTTTATTCACCATGTTCTTCAATTTCTTCTCCTGGAAGTATCTTGTTAGATGAAAAAACTCAGAATTTAAGTTCTGCTAGTTTTGTAAGTTCAAAAAATGCTTTAGAAGAGAAAAAGCCCGAAAAGTCAAGACATACTTTTATTTTTTCAAGATCTGGATCAGATGTCACAAAAACCAGTGCTATTGATTCTGACAATGAAAATGTTAAAATGAAATTGTTCCCATCTGATATGTCCGGTAATACTTCTACTCATGCTTTAACCTCAACCTCTCTTTCAAATACCTCATCCATTCATAAAACATTTATAGCTACCAGCAATACTTCTGGTGTTATTGGTACAAAATCAAAAGAAAGTTCTTCCGAATCATTTAATTTATATGGAAGTGTAAATCCAATGCCGTTTAAATGCCCTGAAAGCTTTAAACCATCTCGCAAAACATTTATTTTCTCAAGAAGTAAACCTGAAACCAGTACTACAATTACAGACACAACTGTCAATGTTCCTCCTGAAAATAATCCCAATAATGTTTTACCCGAAAATAGTGCAATGGAAAAATCTACATCTAATGACAAAGCTGATGATTTAAATATTCAAAAATCTCGAAATACCTTTGTTTTTGCCAAGCCTAAATCTGATGACTTAGTGTCAGATGACCAAGATATTGCTTTAAAGGAGCAAAATCCCAGTGGAACATTTGTTTTTGCAAAACCTAAGTATTTATCAAACGAAGGCGATCAGCATATTGATTCCAATAAGCATAATTCCAGTAAAAGTTTTGTTTTTAGCCCACCTGATTCATCTTTAACAGTTCCTAGCTTTTCTCTCTCTAATCAAACTTTCCAGATCAATAAACCAAAGGCATCTCGCAAGACCTACGTATTTACCCGATCTAAGTCTTCTACCAGCTCTAAAGCTGACGTTACAGCAACTGATACTTTGTCTACACAAAATACTGAAATTCAACCTAAGGTGTTTGATAGTTTCCTTCAACCTGAACCACTAAACAAGCCATCTCGGAGAACATTCGTTTTCACTCGTACATCCACCAGAACTTCCACTTCAGTTACTGATTCCATTATGAGTGATACTGTTCTTAAGGATACTCTTACTGTTGAATCCAAGGATAAAAAAGCATTTCCTGCAGAGGATGGAGCAAAAATAAATAAAACATTTCTCTCTTCACAGTCTTCTTCTAAGACTGGAGAATTACCTTCGGCTACCTATGGGGAGAAAAGTATAACAGTTTCAAAACCTGGCGTGCAAAGCAAATCTGAAGTTGATATGGAAATTGAAGTATTAAGTCCAACCTCTAGTGGTGTTGACTTCTTGCAAGCATCTGCTGCTGAAACATACGAAGAATTTTCTAGTACCCTATCGAAAAGTAATTAAATTGTTTAATATTAAAAGTTTTTATTAGAACTTAATTTTTTTGCCAGCATTTGTTTAATACTTTTCTATTTATTTTTGTTGTAGATACTCCATACAAAAGTTCTAAAAATGAAAACGCAAAGGTAGGTAATTTTTAAATCTGAAATGAAATCAATTTTCTAGACAAAAGTTGTTAAATTGCCTTTGTTAGTTAAGTGATTAAATTTGGTGCAAGATTAGCCACTGGGATACTTTAAACGTTACCCATATGATAGTATGTATAGTTTTGAAAATTGAATTTTAAAACAATCAATTTTACTGTTTAAAAAATTAAATAATAATTTTTTTTTCTTTAAATATATAAATTTTAGGTCTTCAGATTTATTTAAATTAACAGAATGTATTAATTTTAAAGTGGTTATCAAAAACGGATATGATTTATTTTTTGTTTGTGTCTGTTTGTAAAATATGTTCGGACAGCAAAAAATAGAATTGCTGCTGTTAATAACCAGAGGGTAAAAAAAAATTTTTTTCATCTATATACTTCTAACTGTATTGTTTGGAGACAATAAATATTGTCTATTTAAATAGTTGAATAAACTGAAAAAAAAAATAATAAACTACTCCAGAGAAAAATTTATTAAGAACCCACATTTTTTTAATTGTTTTTATATGTTCCGTGTGCAAAAAAAAAAGAAAAAAAAATTCACCCTGAATAACTTCTGATCTTATGATCAGAGTTTCATTTACTAGAACTCGATGGTTCGTAAGGTTTACCTCAAATATCCTAATTAATTAGTGGAGACGATATTTTAAGTTTTGAAATCAAATAGAAAAACGAACTTTCTCTGAATGAACATATCTTTATTCAACAAATTATGATTTCTGTATCCGCAATCTGAGAAGTGTAGTCTCAATAGTTTGGTCTGGAAGGCATTTCTGAGTTTGATCTGATCTCTTTAATGCTAATTTTATTTTTGTGTATTACGCCATATCTTGGCAAAAAATTTCACCAAATCGAAATTTTTTTTATGCAATTATAAAATTTGCTTATACAAGAATAAGTCTATGCAAAAAATAAAAAAAATTGATATTTTAATAATTTATTATTTTTTATTATTTTATTTAATAATAGTCAAAAAAAAGTTTGAATAAAACTTAAGAACTTTACAAAGGGATAAGCTATACAAATTTTTACATCATTTTAGAGAATGTAATTTTATAAAGTAAAATACAAAATTTAAACATAATTACGAAGTCAAAATTCAAACTTAGGAACTATTTCACCGATTTCGTTCATATTTTGTATTTTGCTTTATGAAATCACATTCACATTTGTTTGCTGTTGTTAAATAACGAAACAATAAATAAATTTTATAATTGTCTGCAAAAAAAATTTTAGTTTGCTTAAAAAATTCCTGAAATGCAACAGCGAGATAAGCAAAGAGTAATATGTATTATCATTAAAGGGTCCAAAGTTTTGACCTCCATCTTCACCAAACTATTAGGACTATATTTCCCAAACTGTGACTATCCCTTATATTTTGAGGGTCAAAAATCCAAATTTGTTAAAGAATTTAATTGTGTGGTAATTTAATTTCAAGATTTTTTAATTTTGTCTTACAATCATCTATGTTCCAATTAATTTGCATAATGTACCATACCAATTTTCTTCATTACTTTATTTATTAAATATCCTTGTGTATTATAGATAGTGAGCAGTCCATGTGCTCCAACAGAGATGGTTTCAAATGCTCCTTCTGAAGCTCCACAAACAGAACTGAGTGAGATTTTTGATATTTTTTTATTCTTATTGGATAATAATCAGAATCAATGATAAGTGTACTGATGAAAATGTGCACTTATTATATGTAAAATTTCTATTCTTGTGACTAAAGTAAAATAGAGGTTTCTAGAGTCTTTTGTAATTTATGTAGCTTCGAAAAAGTACTAATAATGTTTGAAAAAGTACTAATAGTTGTTTGGTGAAGTGGAAACAATTGATTTGATTTGGTTGGGATTACTCTCTTCACTAATAATAAAATAATAAAAGTAAACTAAATTGATAATTTTCGAAATTTATGATTATTGGTAATTGATGTATATTGATGATTTTCACAAATTTTTGTTCAATTTCCTTTATTATTTTTTCTTTTAAAAAAGTAGCCATTTAAAAAAAAACGTGTGTGGTGTGGTGCAATTGAACTGGATGCCTGCTCATGCCATCAAACCTCTGCTGTCATATTGATGAACTTCTTAGACATACTAGGGCCATACTTTCATATCAAAACCACGGTCTTTTATGTCTGCTTATAGTCTTCAATTGCATTACCCAGGTGGACCCTGAAATACGTTAGAGTGGCCACAAAACAATTCAGGGAATTTTATAAATCTGAAAAAAATCAGGAAATTTAACTAAAATGCTCGAAAAGTCAGAGAAAAGGAATATATTTATTGGAATATACTAAAAGGAATGTGTTAAAATATATTAAAGGAATATATTAAAAGGAATATATATATATATACTTTCACCCTAGCTGTGTTCTTTTGTCCAAATAGAAAGTGCTCTTTCTTGACTTAATTCACAAGTCCAATGACTGGGAGTTTGGCTTGTCCAAGTGTCATTAGAAACAAGGACATCACTTTGGTCATGCCTCAACTTCAAATCCAAATGTACACGCATGAAATATTGATGTTATTTCAAACGATGGAAACATATTTTCTATGCATCTTTTTTCTTAGAGAAATTAAAAGAGCATTAAAAACGTTACAAAATGATCTAAAGTGTTTTTTCAATTTTGTTGACGCATTCCTACTGATCAAAAATTTGATGTGTTTCCTTAATTAAAAAATAACATCAAATTATTTATTTATACCTTATATTTATTCAAAAGTATTTGCTTTCTATATCTATTTATCATTCATTCTTAATAATATTATCTACTATTAAGTTGTTATTTTCATTACTAATTAAAGGCTTAAAAGTAATAGTGGTCTTCTTTTATTATAAGGTAATCTTGTAATATTACTTATTTTATGCATTTCATGAAAAACATATTGAAAACGATATTAATTAAACAGTTTTGCAATTATTAGCAGTAAATAAGTTATTGATGCTTTTATAATAAGCTTTATGTAAAACTATTTTCAGACAAAATATGTAATTGAAATAATGAAGACAAAACTGTTATTATTAATCACTCAATGCTTGGAAAAATTACATTATTTTTGTAGTTAACGATTACTTTATTGTAAATGTAGTTAACAACAATTACTTTTTTTAAATTCAGTGATTGCAAACTACTTTGGAAATGTAGTCATTACTTTTAGGAGACGAATTTTGCTGGGGAACTAAATTTACACATATGTTTAAAAAGGTTTTGAATAAAAAAATTGGCTTATTTAAAACATTAAGAATCATTAAAAATATGTATTGATACTTAAATGAGTCAGTTTGTTATTCTAAACCTTTTCTTAAGAATTTATTCTTGTAATCTTCAACTTTTTATGTTTTTTCCAAATACGTAATTTAAGAAATCCTTAGAAATTTTTGGAATATGGGCAAAATATTTTGGATATTTGTTGCACCTATAAATTGTCAATATATGAAAAATTTTGATTCAAAAATTATAAATTTTCTGCAGCGTAGTTGCAATTTTTTTCCATTTAAAATGTTTTATAAAAATATTCATATCAGTAAATTTAGATTGTATAAAACTAAGTTTAACAAAAAATAACTATAAACAGCAGAATGAGTTTTGTTGCATGATATTAGTAGGGCCTATATTATTATGTGACTGAAGTTTGATACATGACATAGTTAAGCAAAACCTCATACATAATTCTATTTCAACTTTTTAACCTTAATTCTTTTATTGTATCCTTATAGATGAACGTTTTTATATTAATAGAAAAAAAGGGAAATTATTTGGACTAACTGAATGTTTAGCAAGACTGGCTCACAACTGATCATTTATTGCACCACTAGCAGTAAAATATCCAAACTCGTTCTTCTAATAAATATTTCAGTGTTTTTTTTCCCTTTAACTTCTTTCTTAACAATTAATTTTCTCAACATTTTGTTATAGCTGAAGAGAGGAACAAGCCTTTCCTAACTTCGGCAAAGAAAGAAGCAAATGTAACACTAACCAGCAGTGCCACAAAATCAAAGAAGAAAAAGAAAGGTATATTTTTCTGTTTATACTATGTCTCCTAAGGAGAGGGAATGTTTAAACTAGGTTATTTTAAAATAGCAATGGTGCTACCCAACCTTCTACTTATTTAAACATTTTTACCCTCCAAACATATTAAGCCCTTGAGCGAAATTGTATTGAAATCTCCCTCCAGGTCTAGAAACTAGGAGCAGGGCATGTGTTTGTGTTTTTTTGGAATTCTGGGTATCTCAAGACCATTAATTCACGGACTTCCACACATCAAAACTTATAATCCAACGAAATTTTCATCACAATCTAAAATTTAAAGTAAGAATTAAGTTCAAAAATTTAAATTTTGAAACCTTTGCTAAATTGCCTTAACGAGACATTTTCATACACCTGAATTTTCCGCAATTTTGATTTTTTTTTTNTTTTTTTTTTTTTTTTTTTTTTTTTTTTTTTTTTTTTTTTTTTTTTTTTTTTTTTTTGGTTTTGTCAGATTTCTATCATTTTAATATTTGAAACTATGCTCGAATCCTCTAATATCGCAATTCATATTCATGTGAATTTTATAATTATGCATCGACTTTCGCATTTAAAAGTTACTCATTGTGAATCGTATTCACACGATTTAAGAATTGCCAATCGCGATTCGTATTCAGTCGTAGAATTCAAATCAAAATCCAATATTGCAATTTGTATTTACACATTTTTGAAATCAATATAATGTTTCATTTTTAAAATCCAATGCCGTTATTCGTATTCACGGGTATCCAAAAATCGCAGCCCGATTCATATATACGTGATTCTAAAATCAAATATTGCATTTTGTATTTTTACGTTCTTGAAACGAAGGAAGTTTTTAATCAAGCAATCATATATATGTTATAATAAACATGAAAATGTCATTTGTTTCAAAAAGTTTACAGCTGAATATTTTAATGAGCTGCATTCTCATTAATTTTGTTTTAGTTTTGCATTTATAAATTATTAGTTTTAAGACGATTTTTTTAAGATTACTTTTATAAAAATTTCTATTAAATTAATAATTTATTGCAATAGTTTTTACAAATTTATAATTTTAAAAAACATTGATTATTAAAATTTTTTTCTCACATTATCAAATTAAATCTATTTTTTAAAGCAGCAAAGTAAAAAATTTTAAATTGAAAGAAATTAATTGACATAAAGATATATGAAGGTTTACTTAATTATTTTGTGAACACTTGTTTTATTAATATTTAATTAATGCATATCTTATTTTCATATTTAGTGTGTTTTTATTTAAATTATAGCTTTAGTAGATTTTGCTTTAATTTGGTAGCGCAATAGTTATTTATTATCTGATTTAATAAATTACACAGTATTTTAAACTGATCAACAACTTTATTTATTTTTGAGTAAGTTTTAGATATCTCTAGATATCTAAAACTTTTAGATATCTAAACCTTCTTCCTCTAGTTATTTTTTTTAACATAATTAGTGTTATTTTTTTCTGTATTATTCTATGCGCAATTTAATTATGCATCAAATTTCAGGTAAAATTGCAAGGAAAATAGAGTTTTCATTTGCTGAACCACATTCTCCGGCAACTCCTGAAGGTAAGTTTTAATTCAAACATTGAAAATGCACAACCTATGACCTGCGAGTTCCAAAGCTTTAACAATTTTTTCATGAAGTGTCATAAAAAATTTTAAAAATAAGGAAAAACTTGAAAAAAAAAAGTAATTTAAGCTGGGTTTTATTATAAATTACTAATCTAGTTCAGTTTTCTTAGAGTATTAGATCGTAACCATTTCATGTCGCAAGTTTTACTTACTGGAATGAGTTATGAGTTTGCATTAAAATGTAATTTCTTATGGAAAAATTCCAAAAGTGGAAAGTTAATAAAACAAAATAAAAATTAAATCTATACAAAATTATGTAATTTCAAAATTCCAATCTCAACCGTCACATTAATCTCATACAGCAGTGTTTCCCAAGTGTGGTATGCATACACCCAGGGGTACAGGAACAGTTTAGTGGGGGTACACATTCTTATGCAAAATATCTGGCAACAAACGAAAATTTCAAAATTTTTTATTGAAAAACAGAGCTAGCCATGAAAATTTGCGAATACGTATTTTTCTATTGCCTATTTTTTGCAGAGTTAACGGTTAATAATTAGTGGTGTCAACATTCAGTTGTGATTTTTAACTTTTGTGCAATTTTTTTATAGTAAAAAATACACTCATTTTTTTATTAGTGGTACACAGCATTACGAAAAATTTAGAAAGGGTGCACGAAAGTCATAAGTTTGGGAAACACTGTCATACAGTANAGTTGTGCTTTTTAATTTTTGTGCAGAAAAAATCTATTCATTTTTTTATTAGTGGTACACAGCGTTACGAAAAATTTAGAAAGGGTGCGCGAAAGTCATAAGTTTGGGAAACACTGTCATACAGTATAAATAACTGTGATAAATTTTATTTTCTTAGTAAGAGTAAATATTAACTGAGATGAAAATTTGTAAGTTCTCCCTTTTTCTCTTTTGTGTATCTATAAATTTTTTAAAAATAATTTGCTTTGTAATCTTGTAACTGTATTTACATTAAATGTGTTTATTTATCTTAATTTTTGATTTTGTGAAAAATTTAGTTATGCATGCATAAGTCATTTATATTACTTTTAAATAGGTTCTAAATATCCCTTTCATTTTTGCAATTACAGCTTTTTGTTAATGTTCATCCCAACAAAATATTTTCTAGTTTTTTTTTTTAACCTATTATTCAAAATATCTCTTGAACACCATTCGTCAGTATGTAGTTGGATTTCGCAAATTTTAGTGGCAGAGTTACTGTATAAGGCATGTTGGATCTATTCTTTTAAATTTAGGGTTCTAATATAGCTTTCAGCTGCTAACAATGTGTGAATCTATGAAGTAGACTCTATTCTGTCCACCCTTTTTTTCAAGACCTAAGCTAAACATATTTTTGTTAAAAAATATGGGATAGTTTTCAACATGTGCATTAAGTAGCGTTACTTCTTTTTCTATAATTTATTACAGTACAGTGAAGAATATATTTGTACTAGTTCTGGTTAATAGTAGTAGTTATAGTTGTGTGATTACAGGTAAACTTAATTACAGGAAGAAAAAAAATTTTACTCAAATATGCTTTCTTTTTTAAAAAATTTTTCCAACTTATTGTTCGTGATTTCAAACCTAAAAGCTGTTGCTCTAAACTGTTTCAAAAGTGCAAGATTGTTCCTCCATAAAACATGCAATCTGGCCATTTTATTTTATAAACAGTTTTATGTTCCTATCAGTTTTTTTATGAAAAAAAAATATATATATTTATTTGTAACTGGCTTCTTTTTTTTTTCTTTTTTTTTTGCCAACCTTTTATCATATCTTTACTTTCAGAATACAAGTTTAGAAAACTTGTATGTAAGTAGTAATTTTTTGGAGACTGCCTGTTATGAAATAGAAAGTATTGTAATAGCTCTTTGCTTTCATGTTTAATTTTGCTAAAATCTTGGATGCCAGATTGGATTTTTTGGGAACTGTAGCAATCGATCAGTTGAGATTTGTAAGCCCCTGGCAATTTTGAGATAAGCTGTTTCTTCTAGGAAGGGTCTCACATAGCTTACTACTGAATCTCTCTCGTTTATCACACTTTTTGGTTCAGTTTAAAATCGCCCTACTTTTTGTATATTTTTATATGATTCAGAAAAATTTGGGAAATTTAGAAAAGAAACCTCTATCAAATAAATTTTCATACTCAATTTATTACTTAAGCACTATTACTCACTTATTATTAAAGCATTTAAGTGAGTAATAGTGTTAGATAATGAATTATAAGTCTCATTTATAGTTGTCAGTTTAAAGAATCTTTTTCCCTTAAAATAAAAAATTCTGAACTATTTAATTTTTTTTATTGGAAATTTTCAATTTTTTTAATTAATTATGAAATATATTGTAACTTTTTCATTAAAGTAAATTAAATATTTGTTATTGTTCAAAATAATGAATTAAAAAATATAAATATAATAAAAACATTTTATTTTCTTGTCCATTAAATGTCAATTTTAAATGCAAAATATTGCAACCAATTTAAATCTTACAGTTATTTATTTTGAAATCGATTATAATTTTACACTTATTTTGAAATAGTTTTTGTATTGTTTTTTATTGACTATGAAAAATCCCTGAAATACCTGCTGTCTGAAATATTTTAATTATTAAACTGTAGTTAGCGGGAAATTTATATTATTTTATAAACTCTATTGGATTTGTTTTCCTTCCTTTTCCTGTAGTTAGGTATGGTTTTTAGTGAAGTGTTCAAGCTTCATCTATTATCTTTGCAATCTCTTTAAATTTTGATATTGTGACTGCTACTTCACTCTTTTTACAAAATTTTTTTATTTATCTTGTTTTTTTAGTTTTGGAAGCTCTTTCGCAAACCCCCGAGCAGCCGAGACCTTTACCGTCCTTCATGTTCTCGCCACCTTTAACCAGAGGAAGGCTGAGACAGAAAACATTGGATGAAACAATGGGAAGCTCATTTTCCTCAGTCATATCAGAAACTTCTTTCTCAACTTCTGTAAGAAAGCCTCCCATGGACCCTATTTTGGAAGGAATAATGCAAGAAAAGACTTTACAGACAAAAACAAAAAGAAGTACTAAGAAACAAGCAGTTAAAGGCTCTTCAAGGAAAAAAACTTCTATAGTTGGAAAGTAAGTTAGTTTTTTTTTGTTTTTGTTTTTTTTGCATTCTGATTAACTTTATTCAAATATATCAATTTTTATGCTAGAAGTATAATATAGTTTAATATTTTATTTATATCATAACTTTTTATTATCATATCAATCCAAATATGAGAAAAGAAAGAAAATATTCAGGAAAAATAACATTGCTTATAATGTAAAAATTTTTTCATTCATATGCACCTTTATAATCAGATTCCTTAACTTCTTATTTATCTACTATTAATTTGTTTGGATTAGTAACAAAAATAAAAAGATGGTCTAAATTTTAAATTATTTTTTAAAAAATATACATTTTAAAATAAGTAATATTAAGGGATAAAATATTCATGATAGATTTTTTTTGTCATTATTTAAAGCAGCATTTTGTTTAGGAAGTGATATTTTTCTTTATTAGTTAGTGTGAATTTTGTATTTAATCTTGCTATTTTCAATATGATCCAATTACAAATGATGTTGAACTGTTTTTTCCAATACATAAGAATTTACTTCTCAACAATAGGGAAGGTTTCAAACTTGGAATATCAAAAAAAGCATTTGATACGATACAATTTTGATGTTATTGAAGATAGTATTTAAAATTTAATAAATCCTTAATTATCTTTATCAGGTATTTATGTACATTTTATTTTATTCATTATTACATATTTATTCTGATTATTACCTTATTGTTTATTAAATCTATATGTAAAAGTTACATTTTATAATTTTGTTAATACCAGTATACTCTCAATGTCTCAAAGCTGAAGGGGTACTAAATTTTTTTTTAGGTATAGCGAGTTTTCCAGTTCAGAACTAAATATGCTCTAAAAAGTAAAAAAACATATTCTGAAATATTATTCAAAAAACTAGAGTCATGAAATATAAGAATAACTACTATTAAATACATATGTAATGGTAGTTGACTATAAGTCTAAATACAACAATGATAATTTTATTTTTCGAAGTAAGACAAGAACAATAATGCATTAAATAGAAAAGAATTGGTTTACAATGAATTTACATTGTGATTTTTCCAAAAAAATTCATTTTCTATTTTGAAAAAAGTTCAACATGGTAAGGTTTTGAGAAGAAATCCTTCTATTTAGGAATTCAAATTAACATTACGTGGCTATATAATGCCAAGGAGAAAAATATTTTTATCGCACATTTTCGAGATATCAAGAGTCTACTGTTTAACAAGTTATCGTTAGACACTTTTTCTAAAATTTTTAATGGCATTCTTTTTTATTTCAAAGTTATTCTCATGATTTTTAGACGCATTTTTGCTGTTGTCATTTTTAAGTCATCAACATCCTTGCCCTGGTGATAATGAATGCTATAGCATTAAGTAGATTATCATTTGTGTCATTTAAGGAGTTAACTTTACGAATCCTTTTAGTTTCTGCATCAGGGATGTGATTCTTCTGCAGATTTCCGCTTTTTTTTTTCCTCCAGATTTTTCCATTTTTTTTCTTGCTAATTTCCGCAGATTTTTTTTTTTTTGCACAAGTTAAAATATATTATGGGGAATTTAATTTTCCGCAGAACGAAAGTATTGAAGTCCTCATTCTTCCCTCTGAAGTTTCTCTAAAAATCATTTCCTTGGGATAAAACTGGTTGACCTTCATACAGGGAGGAGATTTTTTTGCTTTTGTCACTCGAATTTCAGCCTTTTTTTTTTAATCAAAAACTTGCAATTCTCTAAATGTTTCGGAGTTTTTAAAAAAAAATGTTTTATAAATATTCCCCTTTTTTAATAAATTCAGTCGTTGAAATGAAAGAATTAAATGTATTTACGATTTTCAAAAGTAAACAGAAAATTCAAACTACATCCTAGCAGCTGACCCTTCCGCATTTTTACTTAATTTAGCTATATTCTCCGATTTTATGCACAGAAAATAAGATATTCTGTATTTTTATCCGTCTTGCCAGATAGCACATATTTTCGTAATTCAGACGTCGCTGCTTCTTGTTTTCTGGTGTGAAAGCAAACGAAAAAAAAAATAGAGGCGGATTTTGAAAATTTTTATTTATTATGTCTAAACAAAAACAATACAAACCAGCCTTTTAGACATCGTAATGCAGACTCTGCAAATATCTCGATTCTTATTCACACAATTTTAATATCAATCATCGATTTCCATATTTATCTGATTTAAAAGGTGCATATTTTCTTATTTATCTGATTTAAATATCGTACATTATTATTCTTATTTACAAGATTTAAAAATCCAATATTGCGTTTTGTATTTATGCATTTTTAAAATCGTGATTTTATCATCAAACATCGATTTTCGTATTTACCTTTTTCAAAAGTTGAACGTTGCGATTCTCATTCAGGCGATTTAAAAATCGTACATTGCGATTCTTTTTTACAAAAAATTAAAAAATACAATATCGCGATTTGTATTTACGCGCTTTTAAAGCCCTATGTAGCGATATCAAACATCGGTTGTAATAGCAAACATCGATTTTCGTATTTATACGTGCTTTAGAAATTAAACATTGGGATTCGTATTCGCGCGATTTAAAAGTTTACGCATCGTGATTTGTATTTACTTGATCAAAAAATTTTGCATCATGATTTGTATTTTCGCATTTTTTAAATCCGATATAGAATTTCATATTCACGTGATTTGAAAGCCTCATATCGGGATTCACATTTCCTCAATTTAAAATTATGCATGTGATTCACATTCATATATTCATACAATTTTAAAATTAATCATCGGGATTTATAATCGCATGGTTTACAAGTTTAAAAATCGCACTTTTTTTTGTCAAACTTTTGGATACATATATTCATTCTTAGATTTCCTCTTTTTTACTTTCTGACCACTCTCATCCCTGCAGCATATTAACTCTTCTGATCTGTTTTAGTAATGTCTGCTCTTTAAATCAACTACTCCTAAAACTAGTTGTGAGATTAAGTCATATTTATCTATTATTTTTTTTAATTTTAAAAAAATATTCCTCTCCTGCTGTTAGAAAAGAAGCATAATAGAGTAAATTAAAACTCAAAAACCTATTTTATTATTTAGGGAATTTTAAAAATAATTTTTTCTAAGTATTACATAAAGTCGTGGTTGCTCAAGGAATAGAGCGTTCACCTCCCATTGAGGTGAAAAAGTTAGCTTGTTTTCTTGATTAGGTTATTAAAATTACAAGGCTACGGAGTTAAGCATTGATAGTCGGAAACTCAGAATTGTGGTGCTATAACCTTCTTTTATGAAGCTTTTGTTTTATGTCATTGTACAGTTGAATCAGCATCGTATACAGTATTTAAGTTATAAGAAGAATTAATAAAAATTTTCAATTATGTATGCAAATGGCACGAGAAATATGTTTGATTTTTTTCTTCTTGTTGGAGTTAATGATCAAAGATTTATATGTGTGAATTCAGCAAACTTGAAAAATATTGCTTCAGAAATTATGCTTTTAAAGTTTTCTGAATACCGTAGACTGTAAGGAGCAAAATTTAAATGCTTAGATATTTTTCCTATTCATAAAACTTGGGGAATATCATTTTTTGGAATTAAGGCAACTTTTAAGAAAAAAGAAAACATATTTTCCAGAGTAAACTACTCTTTTATAAAATTGTATGATTATTATTAATTTTCGTCTTTTACTTAGTTTTAGGGAATCATCGCCAGATGCTGCAAATCAATCACAATTGCTTCTTGATGACAGTACTGCTTCAACCTCAAGTGTAAGGAATTCATCAGCTAGACATAGCATGGTTCTCCGGCAAATGAGATCAAAAAAGGCTGATATTAGTTTCCTTTAAAAAAACTGAACTGAGTGATTTTTTTTTTGTATATAGTAATGTAACAATACATTTATATGAACTGTTTAAACTGAAATTTTGAGTTTAGTTTTTGTCAATGAATGAATAAAAATCTCACACATATAATGCATCTTTCTTTTGTTTTAGATTTCATTTATTGTTTTTGAAAGAAAAATCGTTATATAAAATGCAATTTCCAATAAATGAAACGATTTCAAGCTTTGTTTTTTTTTCCATGAAAAGTAAAAGTGATGCATAAAGGCATTATGGGATTAAACACAAAAAAGATGGATTAAATGCATTGTGAGCAGTTACGTAATATCCACAAAAAATTTTTCTAATCAAGTTCTGTGAAAATTTTGAAGCAAGCTACTTCAGTTTCATTTGTCATTTCTTTAATTCTGAGCTCTGTCCTATATCTCCCCTGCAAAAGAATACACAAAATTAATAAGTTTATTGGCTGTAAGTATTCATGCTTCAAGGGGGGGGGTGAGAAAGAGATAGGTTGGATTTTATTTTAACTAGTGAGAAATGTATGGCTTTGCTTTAATACGCGAAGTTTAGTAATTGTGCATTTTCGAAATACAGTCTTACCTCTATTTAACAAAGTCGCTAAATCCCGATAATAAGTTCGTTATATGAAAAATTCGTCAAACAGAAAATCACCTTTTGAAATATTGAAACAATACAAAACAGGTTTTAAATTCATGATCACTAGGCATAATTAAAATAGCAATTGATACACCTTTATCTAGTATCTACTGTTTATTTTATAAATCTTAGTGGTCAGAGAAATCTGCTTGGAAAGCAAGAATAGAGTAAAACATTATCCAGTGTTACACTATCATGCTATATACATTTTCAAATAAAAAAAGCTGCATTTATGTATAAAATTATAGCTGCATTTATTATAAAAATAATTTTAAGCATACATTACCGCATCTGTTCTTAAATTTAATTGCTACTGATAAAATCCATTAATTTTGTCAGAGTTTTTCATTTGAAAGGCAAACAAAAAGGAAGGGGATTTTACTGCTTTCCCTAAAAGTGAAATGGCTTCAAAAATTAATTCAAGTTCATTTCCCCCATAAAATGCATTAGCAAGTTTAAAATATTCAGAAATATTTTGGAAAATAAGGAAAGTGGATTTCAAAATTCGTAAATAGAAAATTCACTTCGCTATTGGGAAATTATTTTACGAAGAAATTTCCAATATGTTCTTGGTTCCTCGAAAAAATTCGCAAAATGGAAGTTCGTTAAGTCCGACTGTATGACAATTTTTTTTTCAATCAATTGCACTACCTTAGAATATAGTTATCCAATGGAACAGTTAGTTGCAAACATTCATATTAGGTAACAAAGTTAATGACTAGCTGCATTTTGTGTTTTTATTCGAACAAGCGTATGGTTATTTTCGCTTTCATTCCATTAGTTTCGAGATTTAGATTTGTGAGCAGTAGACATGTTTATGGTAGATTTGTATTCTACTATTAAGTCCTTAAAGTCTGCAAAGCGAATGTAAATATAGTATAAGTGCGTGTTAATACTGTTCAATAGCTTTTGATATCGTCAATAACACTGAATGTTGATTTCAAAATGATCAATTATCATGAAGAGAAATAAAAAGCAAGGTAGACATGTGATCAAAAAAGGGTACATTTATTTAAAGTGTGAGGCTGGTTTCCTAAAAATAACTGATGAAATTTTTTTTGTAAAGAGGAATACAACTTAGCTACTAGTCGTCCATACGTGCTTGTGGTATATGCAGAAAGGGCGAAGCACTCAAACCATAAAAAAGTGGATATGATGTAAATTTAAACTTCTTTAAATATGATTGAAATTTTGCACATTAACTGTAAAATTGTTTATGGATTCATATTTTAATGAATAAGAATAAAAAAAATTTCATAAACTTTCTTATCTTAATTTATAAAGTGGCACTATCTTTGTGTGAAAAACTGCACCAAAAATCTTTGTTTTATGGTTTCGTACAACTCAACAGATAATTCTAAAACACTTTAAATTTATATATATATATAATCTGACAGCTATTTAGAGTTCTTGCCCTTGTTCACTAATCTTTCTTTCAAAAGGTAAGCATATTTAATTTTACTCTTAATTATTGTTACACATGCAACAAAAAGCTACATTTATGTCTCCATAAAAAAAAAAGTTCTTTTAGTTAAAGTTTTAAAACTTTGTGTTCAAAAATAGTTTTAAAATACTTTGAATTACAGACCCAAAAAAAATATTTAAGATTTTAATTATATTAAACGTTCCGAGTGTGACATATTCCTGTTGTAGGCATGATACTTATTTTAAGTCGCACACGCGACTTCATTTTAAATTGAACACAAAAGTAAACTAAACAAATAAGTGACTAAATTTATGTAAAAATTATTAACTGAAGAGCATGTAGATGGCAACCGTAACTATACCTTTTGATTTAGCTGTGTGAACCCTGGTTAATAAATCAAAATTAGCCTCATTTGAGCATGTGACATTGTGCTCAGTTGTTTATTAATTCAGTTGGAATAGATAAATTTTTGGTTCTGCGGAAAAAAAATTTTGTAAGCGACATATGATAATGAAAATAAATTGAAAGGCTGTTTAAATTTCAACGATTGAAATTTAAACAAAACAAAAAATCAATGTTTTTCATATATATACATGTCTGATTTTGTTATATTATAGCATTTTTCATAGGATACTTATTAAAACATTGTCTAACATAAATGAAGAAAAAAAAAGTATTTTACACAGTTGTTATAATTCACAGAAATTTCAGTTTTTGTACTGTTTGATAAGTAAAATCAATGTCCTTTTTATGTCACATCCGCAACTTGTGGAAATTGTATTCTTAAAAAATACATAGAATATCGCGCAACCTTTAAATTTGTATTAATGTATAGGTAAGTAATCTGCATTGAAATCCATACAAATTTAAACCAATACTGTAAAATATTTAAGCTAATTTACCTGATTGAAAATTTCCTTTACATCGTAAATATGTCGACATGTTTTCAGCATATAAAAAAACAGTCGACATGTTTCAAGTGCTTCAAAAATAGTCGCTCATTTTCAAAACTCGCCAGACGTGAATGTAAGGAAACAAATTAAATTAAACAAAAGAGGTGAAGTGAAACGTGACTTTTACACAAACTAAACATAATTTAATTAATGTAAAAATGGATTCGTCGTAAAAAGAGAAGAAAGTTAGGTGAAATGACGATCGTTTTTCACTTCTTTGTCTTCATGTCAGAAATAAGTGAATATATTTTCCATTTTTGCCCTTTTTTTGTATAATATTTTTCACTTAAGCAACAAAAAAATCATTTCCCAAAAAGAAAAAATTTGTTCGATAGTGAAAAACTAATGATATTTAACTTGTTATAAGCATACAACTTATGTTTTCTTAAAATTAAGCTTTTTGACCGGTATTTACAAACTACTCATAATAACAGACACGTAGTAACACGCTTTTATTATATAAATAAAGATCTAGATCATTTAATTAATTGAATAAGTCATCATTAACAAATATTGTAGAATAATTTGCAGTTGTGCAGTGCGCAAAATAAAAAAAGCTAACACTTTTAATAATGTTTGATCTAATGATCTTATTTTCATGTATTATAGCAGTGTTTCCCAAACTTTTGACTTTTGTGTACCCTTTCTAAATTTTTCGTAACGCTATGTGCCACTAATAAAAAAAATGAAAGTATTTTTTTAAAAAGCATGTTTCTTTTTTGGTACAAAGTTTTGTAGATACTAACCAGCGATCCATATTCTATGTTACGGATAAAAATTATATTTTATAAAAAAATCAAAATAAGTAGAATTTATTGCAAACCTTTGCTATAAAATAATTGCACAAAAGTTAAAAATCACAACTGGCTGTTGACACCACTAATTATTAACCGTTAACTCTGCAAAAATAGCCAATAGAAAAATACACAATTGTAAATTTTTATGGCTAGCTTTGTTTTTAAATAAATTTTTTTGAAATTTTCGTTTATTGTAAGATATTTCGCATAAGAACACTTACCCCGCTAAACTGTTCCCGTACCCCTGGGGGTACGCGTCCCACACTTTCGGAAACACTGTATTATAGGATTAATTTTTAACCCTCTGACGCAGAGGGAACATCTGTGGCCCTTTTATATACTTTTTTCTGACGCTCTAATTACGAGCAAAAAAAAGTTTTTTTGGTATTTTTTAATTATAAAAAATACTCTCAACAGTTTGTAAAAAAATCTCTTAAATTGTCGGAATTATATTTGTACAAAAATTTGAAATTCGAAATAAATAAATCGAAAAATATTTCTTTTTCATTCATATTTAAAAATTTATCAATAATTGATTTTGTAAATTAAGAAAATTTCAGTGATGAATAACTGTTTCGCTTGGATATATAAATGTTACCGGCAAAGTATGAAATGTAAGAATTATTACATACTTAGTCTAGGCATTGTATACAATGCCCAGGCATTCTACAATGCCTAGGCATTCTATGGAATGCCAAATGCTATTTAGGCAAAGTATGAAATAAGCGTTCTGAGGAGGTTATTATGTAAATGATGTGCATATTACTGTGAATGACCGAAATCGGTGGTTGCTGACTTTCACGGGTGAATGTTGACAATCACATAGTCGCTTTGGTGAATGTCCGAAATATTTATTACATTCGATTTGATATTAGTTTATTCGTCGATATAATTACATTTATTCGATATTTTAATATTTACTGACGATAGATTAGAAGAAACATCAGTGTTTGGAGTATCGGGCAAATGTATACCGGGCAGTGGCACTTGACCCTAAAAAAACATCAGTGTAGGGTATACCGGGAAAATGTAGATCGGGCAGTGGCACTGAACCTTAAAAAAACATCAGTGTAGGGTACACCGGGCAATGACACTTGACCTTAAAAAAACATCAGTGTAGTGTATACCGAGCAGTGGCTCTTGATCTTAAAAAAACATCAGTGTAGGGTATGCCGGGCAAATATATACAGGGCAGTGGCACTTAACTAGACCTAGTATATATTTCGGATATTTACCAAAGGTCTAGTTAAGTGCCATTGACCGGTATATCCTACACTGATGTTCTTTTAAGGTCAAGTGCTACTGCCCGGTATGCATTTGACCAATACTCCAAACACTGATGTTTCTTCTAATCTATCGTCAGTAAGTATTAAAATATCGAATAAATGCAATCTATCGTCAGTAGGTATTAAAATATCAAATAAATGTAATCTATCGTCAGTAAGTATTTAAATATCGAATAAATGTAATTATATCGACGAATAAATTAATATCAAATCGGATGTAATAAATATTTCGGACATTCACCAAGGCGACTATGTGATTTTATTTTATTTTATAACCGTCGTTGAACAGCCGACCCAATTTCATGGGTTTACGACTACTAACTTTCAACTCCGTAGCCTTGTAATTTTGAACCAATCCAGAAGACAAGGAAACTCCTGGATCAGTATACCCCCAGAGCAGTGGCGTAGCTACCTAGGGGCTAGGCGGGGCAGTGCCCCGGGGCCCTCAAGCTCAGGGGGCCCTCGAATCCTTACCAGAAATCTCGATCGAACTGAACTTTTGGAAATTTCTCCCATTTTCAAAATAAATATGACAGGTTGCAACCCCACTTTAAGCATGTCAACTCAGTTGAGAGAAATTCAAAAGTTATGCCTAGGGAATTCCCCTAAATTCTTTCTGTAGGTTGGCAGTGTTTTCAATTTGACGGATAGTGATATGTGCGTTTTATTATTTATCGATGTGCGTTTTATCGTGAATTCGAGTTAAGATTTTTTTTTTCGAGAACGGTTAAAAATTTAATGCTGTATCAGAAGTAAGTAAGCTACTGTCAATAAACTTTTTTGTACTGGTCAATATAGTGGTTCAATTTTATTTGATTTTACCACTCATATTGATGTCCGTTAAGTCAATAAATTGTGTCGAATCTATAGATTTCGACTACAGCTCATTGTATAACGCGAATTATCGTGAAAAAATGCAAGTCACGTGTAGTAGGTACATTAATTCAGGTCCGCGGGCAGGACATCGTTCATGGTCTCTGTAATGCCTTTCCTTTCCAATAAATAAGCAGACCAGATTTTTAAAACAATAAAACTTAACTTTATTTAAAAACAAAAGAAATCGGCATTGTTTTCCAGTAAGAGCTTCCAGCTCTTAGAATACCAAGGGAGACCCTCTCCCGATTATATCAAACATTCATCTACCTTTCTTTCTCTCGCATCCCTCCGACGGGATGACAAAATGCACCAAGTGCGCCTTAAAAGGTCGCCAAACTGTTGCCAACCATTACAGTCTCCACCGTTAAATGTGGTAACACTAACGGTGATAATTTTTTTCCGGGGATTCCCCAACGACACTTGTAGCTTATCATTGTGTTTCTCTTTCCTTTTATTTTACTTTTAACGTCGTCAGTGAACAGTGAGTACCTACCTACTCGAGCACAATCTAATATTGTATTGTTTAAATAAATTAGAAACTAAAATTATGGATAAAAAGAAGAAACCCAATGGTGCATTTAAACGCAAACAACGCCAAGAAAGAGAAGATAGTAAACAAAAATTGACCAAAATTGACAAGTTTTTTAGTCAGCCTTCTGCAAGTACTTCTGGCCAAAATATTTCTATTGACAGTGACTCAAATAGTGTGGTAACTGCAGTGTTGGTTGAGAAGCCTACTGAAGAAGATTCGACAATTATTGCAGTTGGAGATACCTCCGCCGCCGATCATGTGAACGTGGATGATGTTTGCATGACACACATAAGAACGGAGGGTTTGGAGGAACCACAGAGCTCTACATTTTTCGAAAATGTGTACGACAAAACTTCTTATAACTTGGGAAACTTCACGAACAAGATATTAAGTGATAACGAAAAACGTCATATTCTTGATATGGGGCCCTTACAGTCTTCAGGACCTTTTCCAACAGACATCAACCAGAACAATAGATGTTTTCAAAATCGTACTTCGTTTCGTGTTCTAAATATGGGCCAGTTAATCGTTTTTAGTTGTGTTATTCCAAAATACTAGACGCTGCCTATTGTCAACCCTGCTGGTTATTTGCTTCACAAAGGAATAATGTTTGGTGTACGGGAATTCGAGATTGGAAGCATTTATCAGAAAGAATTAAACAACACAGTTGTTCGAGTGGCCATTCGGAAGCATTTGCTGTGTATGAATTTTGGAGGGAAAAAAACGATACTAATACTATCGACAAGGAACTTGAAAATGAAATTCGCAAAGAAGCATCATTTTGGAAAATGGTTCCTCAAAGGTTATCCGATATCATACTTACCCTAGCAAAGAGTTCTTTGGCTTTGAGAGGACATCAAGGAGACTTAAGTCAGAAAGGATGCCACGGAAATTTTCTGTCCTTTGTAGAGCTTGTCGCCCGATATGATCACATTTTGTGGCAAGTTTTGGATATGCCCAAAGGTAATAATAATTATTTCTAAGTTTTTTTTATCGTTTTATTTTGTTTATAATTATTAACTGTTTAATATCAGGACTTTTTTGAAATTGTGTTTTTTTATGTTTTTAGGATCTACAAGATATCTGAGTGCAACAATTCAAAATGAAATGATTGAGAGCTTGGGGACCAAACTCGAAACCCATCTACTAGAACAAATTAGAGCGTCACCGTTTTTTGCCATCATAATGGATACGACACAGG